ATGGCAAAACTCAAATCAAGAAGATCCCAGGATAATTTTTGCATGTTTTATTGCAAACTTTTATCCCTGAAATCCTCCCAATTTTGAGAGTATTTTGCCACCAATAAATTTAAAAATAGGTCTCAGTCATATCAATTCAAGGGCTGAATTGAGGTGGTATAATATATGTTGAAATTAAGTGCTCAAATGTGGCCAGGAGATGCCCTAGAGGTATAAATACTGGTGCCTGGCCTAATGATTGATTATCAAATGAATATCCTTTAATAAAAGTCATTTTATTTCATCTCTTTCCTAGTTTTCTCATCTAAATCTTTTCTTTGTAGAAGTGTCAACAAGCTGGAAGTACCAACTTACCCAGCTTGTATCTATCCCTGCCTCATAAGTTGTTACCAATTACAAAGGAAATATTAGGCCTGTATCAACCTGAAGAGTTGGGGCTATTTCAATAAACCTAGTGAGTTTCCAAATAGTCAGAATACTGTAAGCCACTGTCAAAATTGAGGATTAATTGTCTAAACATCTTCCTTATTTAGCGTGCAGGATTTTAATTATCAAGCGAGCTATTCTCAGAACTTCAAATCATCCTGTATCCTATTTCAGAAAGATGATGTCAAAGGTGGAACGCAACTACAGCATAACAGAGAAGGAGTGCCTTGCTATTCTGTTAGTTGTAAAGCACTACCGCCCTTTCCAATATGGGATTGCTTTTACTGTGGTTAAGGACCATGCTTCACTAAAATAGTTACAGAACATAAAGGATCCTACTGGTCAGTTAGCTCGCTGGGCTATAAAGCTCTAGCATTATGACATGAAGATTAAACACCATGCTGGAACTCATCACATGAATGTTGATGGGTTAACTTGGCTGCCAGTCCTTCACCTGGATAATAGTGAGGCAGAGAGGTTAGACTACCTCTTAATGACCCCAATGACTGGGAGGGTGAGGATGAGCCCATACAGAAAATGTTAGCCCAGAACTTCTGCAACACCAAAATAGAGAGTGGAAAACTGTACAAGCAGGTGAGGGCAAAGTGGCTGCCTTACCTTTGGCCCTCAGAACGCTTACCTGCTATCCTGGAAGCTCACTCCATCCTAGGTCATGGAGGAGCAAAGAAAACCTATGATTGGATTAGGGATTGGTACTGTAAGGAAGGAATTATAAAAACTGTTGTTGAAGTCTTGGGTGCCTGCCTCACGTGCAAGAAGAAAAATACAGTTTCAAGACTAGATACCAATATCAGCCAACTACCCCTCAACAACTGTTCCACACCATCAGCCTAGACATAGTAGGTCCCCTCCCACAGATTACTGGGCAAGCAAATTTATCCTAGTAGGCATTGACCACTTTACTAAGTGGATTGAAGCCTTGGCTCTCCAAGCTCAAACGGCCAAGGCCACAGTCACGTTTTTCCATCAAAACATTTTCACTCGTCATGGCTGTCCCCAAGTACTACTCTGTGACAATGGTAAGAACTTCACCTCCAGAATAGTCAAAATCCTGGCTACTTCCATGGGAGCCCAACAACTTTTATCAGCTCCATATAATCCCTCTACCAACAGGACTGTGGATAGAGCAAATGGAACCTAGTCTCATTATACAAAAAATGGCATCTTCTGATCCACTTCACTGGAATCAATTCATATATAGTGCTCTTATGGCCTACCGGATTAGTTATCACTAGATCTTGAAAATGTCCCCATTCTATGTCTTGTATGGGCAGAAACCAGGAATACCTGCCCTCTTAGCTAAAGATGTATTTTCCTCTAGAGTTGAGCAACCTGAGAAAGCCATGATAAGATTGGCTCAGTGAATCATCCAGCTCCAATTGAGGCTATGACCAATCTAGCTAAAAATGGTGACCTAAGAAGGGCAGGCTGCCAATGAGCTCTGAACTCCCTACCTACTTATCAAGTGTCTGACTGGTTCTGTATTATCATAACCACATCACTCCTTGGAGTGGTAAGCTTGGTTAATCTGGGAAGGCCCTTTTGTCATCATCTACAAGAGGGGTGTGGAGTACTCTATCAAATCCTTGGCTACGGTATTACCATCAAAAAGGTACATGGCCGCTTCCTACAGCCCTATTCTCCCCCCAACATTCTTGAGGGGTGTGATGTCAGACATTTGCCCTCCAGGCTTCAAGAAAAGAATGTTTTGGGTCAAAATAGGCCGAAAAGGGGAAATGTCAAACATTTACAAGTTTGAAATTGGGGTAAGAGCGTTTCAAGCAATATTAATATAATATGGGCCAAAAGACCCTGTCAATTCTTGGCAGAACCCTTAAATCAGGGTAACAATTTTGCAAATACTACATGGGCAAATAGCACAAGGTTGGCAGTCAGATTGCCCCGCCCACATGGCGGAATCAAGAGAGTCCATTGGAGGTTCATCCTAGGCCACGTCTATTTCAATTCAAGCATCTAAGTGGTGACCACCCCCTTTTATAGCGTGGTGGGGGTCCCTCAAGGTGCAATTATTTTCTCTCGTGGTGATTAGCTGAAATATATCAAATCTTTATCCCACGGGTTTGTCTTGCCTAAAATTAACTTTCCATCAGTCATTCCACCAAAGTGAAGTAAGTTTCCTGAGCTCCAATAGGTCAAATCTCCATCTTCCCTAATTTGGACCATACTAAGCTATTCTGAACTTAACATTAATTTTCCTTCAGCCCTTAAACAGTTTATATATTGAGCAGTAAGATATCAAGAGGGTTCATTTATCTCTTACCCCGCGCCACCACTAATAAAAACATATAAAAGTCAGCTTTTTGTTTATTAGTGTTTTTTATCTTTAATATAAGTAAATAATTTGTGGAATCCAGTGGAGATCAGCACCAGAAAGCAACAATTAGCTGTGATCCCACAAAAAGTATTGTCATGGATATCCCCAACTATATCAAGGCCTCCCAAAATTAGGTTTAAACCCAACTTATGCAGTTGAATTTTGTTCGACAGTTACTTTTCAATATTGGGGTCAAGCCTGATCTATGAGGCGATCAAATCTTGTTTGACTGAAGTAAACAGATTGTTTCAAAATCCCAAAACTATTTAGGTAGATCTTGGCTTAGAAACACTAGTAGATTTTATCCTAGAATAAACCATGATCTCCTATATAAATTCTGCTTGTGAGAAAATAAAAATTGCTCTCTTTTTGCCAACTATTTTTTACCCTCCTCTATTCATCTAGGGCCAAAAAAATTGATACGCCACTCAAAAGTTTTTACTTGTGTGAAGACTTTTCTATAGAAAAGTAAAACTTTCAAATATAATTACAAAGGCTTCAGGTGCTCTTGTCTTTCATATAAAAAAGGACGGTTGGATTCATTCCCCCATATCCCAATAATAATGACAACGAATATAGAAATTGACCCCTTTTATACCTTTGAAGCTAAAATACTTTGCAATAAGTGATGACAAAGGAATGACTGAGATGAATTACACTGACTGAAACAATTAATCCTTTCAACATAATATTTTATAAAAAAAGGAAGTCAGTCCAAAACCCTGAAGTGAGGTGCATTGAGGCAGTGCTATCAACTGAATTTTGACCAATCAGCATATTTCAAAATGGGTAATGAAGTAATTACTGGAAGAGGTACTACCACTCTAGACCCAGAAGCAGGTATTTTGCATGGTACCACTGAACATCCTGGTGAAGGGATTTCCACCATGAGATGGAGCTTGCAGAATTGGAGCATTAAACAAAATGGATGCTGCCATCAAGGCAAAGATTAATAAGAGTTTTATCAGGGGTATGTGAAGCCTCTACAATAATGCCAAAACCCACTCCCATTTACTTTCAATTTACATTCATTTTTATATCTTTATTTTTTGTTTGGTTGTATAAAAATACTTTTAAATTAATTAATTAAATATACATTAATATAGAATATTAATTTACCCTTATTTTCCATTTAATTTTGGGTTTGAGTGAAGAGATTTCCAGTAGACAGTCTGGAATCTAAAGAAGAAGACACTCATTTAGGAAAACCTTGGGTTATTAAAGATGCCAAGGAAGAGGTTGAGTGAGATTCAAGTGAGTCTAGTGATAGGCCAATGTAATTAATTTATTTAATAATAATTAATCAGGATACCACCTGCAGGGAATTAAACAGTTCAAGGAGTAATTTATGCTACATTGGTTAGCATCATATGAGGATTTCCACATTGAGGATGATCATGTCCCTTTATAAGGTCACGTGATATCTAATCTTTATGGAACAGAACCATTCACCAGCTAGTTGGCCTCCAAAGTTAAGAAAACTAGGCTGAAAAGCTGACTGAGGTCAAAATCACCCACTCTATACTGACCAGATAAAGCTTTTGTCTAAGATTGAATACTTTTAAAAATATCAAATAGATAGACCTGTTGTAAGATTGCTAACTTGCGGTATGAAAAAAAGCAATGTAAAGACTAAAGTAGAGAAGTATAATACTAGAACTCTTTTATCTTACTAATAAATAACTATTTTATATATGAAATATATACATATATATTATAGTAAATGTAAGTGTCAGGAACTGGTGTACTGTTGATCTGAACTTGAGAAAGCTAACCATGAGCCAGCACAACAAAGGTTTTGGAGTCAGTATGGCAAGGACACTAGATGTGTCCAAATACAAGAACTGGTGAGTATACTGAATTGGGAGTTGACCACATATTAGTTTTTATTAAGAAAAAGTGGAATGGTGATTCTTGAAAGTTAGGGTGGTGGATTGGGATTGATAACACCTTAGTAATTAACTTAGGTAGTAATTTCATCTTATAGAATATATTTTTATTTATTAAAGGCAAGCTGACAAGGGGATAGGCATTACTGAAAGTGAGAAAGAAAGAAAGAAAGAAATGATATGAAGCCTGAGCAGGCTCAACTCCATTGAAGAAAGTTTTTCCACCTCCAGATTGGGACTCGGATTTTTCTGGTTACATCATGGGTAAGGTTATTGTGTTAGACCTACTAACCTGAAATAGCTTCTTTCATCTGGCACCCCAATTGATGTGCAAAGGGTGTGAATTGAACCCACAACCTTCAGGTTGGTAGCCAGACGCCCTACTGACTCAAATTCTACCCCCTGTAATGATCAAGATTCATCTCAATCATACATTTTGACTCAGATTCAGATTTTCTGAATTTAAGTCAAATAGTTTTAGAAAAATTTGGTTAGTTGTTTTGGGCACTGGGTGTGCCTCACCTGAGTTGTAGATTAGGCTTGTGCAAGTCTAATCAATAACTTGGGTGGGGCCCCCAAAGTGCTGCCTTTATAAGGCGCGCCTGCCCATTCCAAACCTCACTTTGGAATTATTACCCTAGCATGTCCCTTTCCTTGGGAGCATTGTCAGTTGCTCCCCAGATGAGCTCTGGTCAGCGGACACCTTTGTTTTTATGTTCCTGAATAAAAATAAAGGATGTTTTGGGTTTTGCATACCTTGCATACCTGTGGTCTTTTTCAGGTGTTTTTGTTTTGAGGAAGCTTTGTGTGGTTGGGTCAGACCAGCCACATAGAGGACTTACATAGCCAACCATTGAAAGGTATATGTTTGGTGCTGTCAATGCCCAAACCTCTCTCTCAGTTAGGCTGCTTTGGTTGCTTGTCAGTGCACCAAATGAATATGTAAATTTATATGGCAGTTGGAATTGGATTTTCCAGTCCATCACACCCCCCTTATGAATATTTTACTGACTGCAAAGTTTCTAGCAATAATATGCATGAACTAGTATCTCCCTCCTCTCCATAGACTTATCAAAGCTTGGTAAAATATAAAAGTGGAACTAATATCTTTATGAGCATCTGGAATTGCTGCTTGCACATGGTTTAAAAGTTAAGAGAATCATCTCAATCTTATTGCAATATAAGTTTCAGTATGCAATTACTTGAGTCAATATCATAGCAATTGAGATTTGTTATACAATTGATTGAACTAATCCCATTGTAATTATGCTTTAGTATGCACTTAACTAATCTAACTTCAACACATAACTTCTTGACCTTGTGGAAAGTATCTGAGATCTCAGAAATCCCATTTATGTCTTTTTGCCCCAACATCATCCTCCACCAAAGTTAGAGCTAACTGTGAGGCCTTCTTCCTTCATTTCCTTAAAAGTTTCCCGCGTTCTTCAAATTATCCTCAGGCTCACAAGTGCTCACAACTGCGGGATATTCATACCACTTAACCAGATATTACTTTTTTTGAAATTCTTACACTTTTCATTGATACCCTCTGCCTCATATTCTGAATATGGGCCATCAATAAGAGGGAGCGGAACTTTTAATTATCTAATGGAGTAAAGAACTATCATCCCTATTATACAAGAGTGATTGCTAGTAACATCATGGATCCTCCATCCTTCAGTTAGAGTAACTAGATAGGAAACCTTCCTGTTGACCTTCTTTACATAATATGTTCCTACACACCAATGGACTAGTTTTGGCATGGTACATCCAAAAACATTGCAAGAATCCAGATAATCTTCACTTCTAGATTCTAAGTCTTCACAGGTACTCTTTTTTATCTGCAAAATCATTGTAGGCATTCATTTCTTGAGTCCATATTTCTAGACAAAAAGCATGGGGGATATTATCCTTCAGAAACTCTCTTCCTGATGGAGTATTCAAAATAAGTAGTTGGCAGTGGTTACCAACCCACGTCAAGACCATATTTAGCCTTAATTTGTGACATTCCAATGGATGCATGGTCCAAATTTTGTAGCAGAACTGGGCCTTTGGAAGCAATTCCGCAAGGTATCCCATCCTGCTTTCACATAAAACTTCAAGTACCGCTCCAGAACTTGATTAGCTCACTCATATTGTCCATCTGTTTGAGGGTGATATGCAGTAGACGGGCATTTCTTAATTCCAATATCATCTAAACCTGCTTCCAGAAGTGTGAAGTGAACTGCGGGCCTCAGTCTGAGATCACCTCATGTGGGTATACCATGATGCAGGAAGACATACTTGATGAATATATGAGCCATCACTTTGACTGTGATGTTGGTGTTTGTGGGTAAGAAATGAGTCACTTTTGAGAACAAATCAATAACTACCATTATAGAATATATCCTTGGGAATGAAGAAACTCTACAATGAAATTAAGGGAAACTGACTCAAAGGCTTCTGAGAAAACTTTAATGGTTCCAATTTACCTTAAGGACGCCCCCTCCTGGTCTTAGTTCTCTCTCAAATCTCACATCCAAATAGGTACTTAATTACTTCACCAATTAACCCAAGCCAATGGTAGTTTTTTGGTTAAGAGTCACCATCTTGTACCTTCCACGATCTCCAGCCATGTCAGAGTCATGATAATAACATAAAATCCACGATTTTTAGGGCTCTTCAGGCACATACAGCCTAGTTCATAACAAACCAAGTGTCCTTTCATGGAATATTTCTTCTTGTACCATCTGCTATTTAAGTTCTTGCTCAGGTCAGCTTTCACAACTTGAAAGGATGAATCTGCCTTCTAGCCTTCAATATGTTATTTTCTCGTCCCACCAGGTTGATGTGAGAGAGCTGAGCCACCAGGTTACGTGTTTTTAGTAATACCTGTGTGTTACACGCTGTGATCTCCCCTCTTCAGGCATCAATTCAAATCATCGTCTTAGTAAACCTGGGACCACATTAGCTTTCCAAGGCTTATAAATAATTTCTAAATCATTATCTTCAAAGGTAAGGGCCCATCTGGATTGTCACTGATTCAGATGGCGCAGATAAAGAAGTATGTCAGGCTCTTAAGGTCAGGAATGATCTTCATGGGGCGCATTTCCACATACAAGCACCATCGCCAGTGTTTTAGGTTCTTAACAATTGCCAGAATCTCTATGTTATAGATAGAGTAGTTACATTCAGCAGGAATAAACCTTTTGGTATAGTAGGCTATGGGATGCAGCCTACTATAATTCCTTTCCTACAACAAAATCCCAAGTGCGTATCCAGAAGCTTTAGTCTCAACCACAAAGGCTTAATATAATTGGGCATGTTAATCACTGAGGAAGAGGCAGATGTAGTCTTCAAGTCAAATAAGGGATTTTTTGACACCTGGGGCCATTTTAATGACCACTTTCTGATGTGATCCAAGTCAATGTTAGTGCAATTGAAAAAAGCCTTTAATGAAATTCATTCAAAAGTTTGGCAAGCCTTAGAATCTGAAAACTTCCTTCAGGTTAGTAGATGTAGGACAATATGTGATGACATCAAGTTTCTAGGTGCCACGGTGAGCCCATTTTTGCCTACAACATAACCAAGAAAATCAATCTCCTTTTGTGAAAACCTGCACTTTAAAAGCTTGACGTAAAGGTTATACTCCTTTTAATTCCCAAAGGCCAATTGCAGATGGCAAAGTTGTTCTACTTGTGACTTGCTATACATGAAGATATTATCCAAGTAAGGCATGCAGAACTGGTTTATGCACCTTACAACAATGTGTTGATCATTTTCTGGAACGTGCTTGGCACGTTGCAAAGGCCAAACGGCATGAAAAGATTCTCTAACAGCCAAAAACGCATCTTGAAGGCCATTTCCCCTATATATAGCCTTCCTTAATTATAATCTGGTTATATGCATCAAATAGTTACACCTTTAAAAAATAGTTTCCCTAAAAACTGATTAATCAAGTAGTTAGTGTCAGACTTGTGGGAGCATGTTGACTGAAGGCATGTCTTTTAAATCTTTCTATATTGGATTGTAGATTTGAATAAAATGGAATTTGGCTAGATAGAGGTAAGAGGTTCCAAGAAAGAGAGAGTGATCTGGAACTTGGCTAGATAGATCCAGAAGTTCCAAGTTAACTATATAATATTTAGATACCTAATTACACTGTTCTAAAGATCCCAAAATAAATATCTATTATTTAGGGATTTAAATAACACTTGCTACAAAAGCCTTAATTAAGCTAAACTTAGGAGTTCTAAAATAAATATATAAGCGTAAAGTTAGTTTATTAGGCAGAATGACTAGCACCTATAATAGTGCTAAGAAATATATAAGTAAACTTAATACATGAGATAAGGAGAAATAGCCTAAGCTTTCTTATTATAGTTTTTAATGAGTTTTATCCTGAGTACGTTTGTCTGGGAATTTCATAATACTAATTGAGATTATCTGATGTTATATAACTTAAAGTTAAAAATAAATATGGGCCTTTATCCTGACAAAGCAACTTTTAATAAACCAATAATAAGCTAATAATGATTTTGGGCCTACGACTTAACAAAGCATTGGCTGACAAAACAAAATTAGTAAATAAAATTGGAATGATTAGAATAATAAATACTTAGGAAACCCAATGTTGAGGCTTTACCCACACTAGGACAAATTCTGACAGGTTCCCTCTAAGCCTTGAGCAGGTGTCAATAACTTTGACCATGTTAAACAACTTTTTTCACAGTCCAAAGATTCTAGAGTTGTGATAGAGACAACAATTTGAGGCATTTAACATAGAATTTGACTTGGTGAGCAGCGAGATTGTCTTAAGTGAAATGTATATGGACATTAACTAGTATAATGAATCATATTATAGACATTAGTGTTAATTTTTTTTGCTTTTAATTTTTGATTTTTAAGAGGCAGGGAACCTCAAGGTTCATTTGTTTCACTCCACTCAGGTAACGGCAAGTCTAGTATCAGTATTAGAACATAAGAGAAAATGTTAGAATAAAAAGTAGTTTTTATGGCATTTGGTTAGACACTGATTTCAGGAACAGATTAAATTTTAAGGTTAATGTTGACCACGTAAAATAATTCCTTGGGTTATATAGTAATTTGATAATAAAATATTACTAATGAACAGATGAATTTAAGTTGATAGGCATCCATTCAGTAACTATGGGATAATCATTAAAAGAACAAAAGAAACTTCATTTAGCTGCTTTATTGACTGAAAGATAGGTGAAAGCAAGAAAGTTTAAATGCAATTTTGTATAAATTTATAGATGAGGTCAGGCAGAAACTTCTTAAATCATTTATGACTATTTTAATTTTTTTCAGGTAAATCTAATTCACTGATGTCAGTGCGAAGAACTAAAATGTTATCAAAAGTTAAATAATATCAAGTTTAAAGTTTATAATAAATAAAAGCGGTAA